GCGCTAAACAAACGCTGTAACGTTACTCGTGCTCTCTGACTGCAGTTCAATTACTCACTGTCTATACACACGCATTACATTACCTTCTTCCGTCACGTTGTCACCCTCCTTTTATATACCCGACTACCCTATATCTAGTAAATACTAGAGCATTCGCCAAGGTACAAGATAGTTCTAGAAACTAGAGGGCGCCACACCAGTCACGTGACCTCGATGACGCAACATAATTTTTCAACCAACCTTAATCACACTTGTATGTATTTTTGTTTTCACAAAAATGTTTAAAAGAGGACTTTGGAAAAAAGTATATATAATAAACAAAACCTATGAAAAAAAAAAGCTTAATAAACTGGTAATTATTCTTTGGGAAAAGATAAGATTCCTGCTTTGTTTATAATAATATCTTGACTTTATGCTGGTTCAAGTTAGAAAATTGGTTGTTTGCAAAGTATTTAGGCAGAAAAAACTACTTTTTTTGGCCAATGAGCTTGTAAAAACCTTTATTTTCATGTTGCAGCCTATTTTTTAATCAACTACAGACTAGTAGTATTTGTAGTTGGAATGGGGCAGATACACAACACATGCAATACAAACTATTTACTCATACACACCTTTAACAACCATATAATAAATCTTCAAAAGTAGGTTGAAAACAAACCACATACAAAATTACAACTCGTGTAACTACTTGAGAAAGTGAACAGAGCAGATAAAAAAATTCTCAAAACTAAACATTTCTCAATCTCACTGACTGACTTACGTTGTCGAAGGCTTCTAGCTGTATAACAAACAGACTTACCATAGCTATACATATACCAAATAGAACAATAGCACAGTACTATAATTTTTCTAAACATCACCAAAAAGAGGAGCTATTTGACATACATAAAGTAATATCTTGAACAGGGAAGCCATTTTAAAATACACATGTCAGCTCCCTCGCTCCCTATACTGAGTAGATGTAGTCAAATAAAACAGTGAAGGGGTGTGGTCTTCTTGATCTACAGCACTGTGTGACAAGATTTGGAAACTGTGAGTAATATGGAGTATGTGAACATAGAGTGAACCTTGAGAGAAGCTTCACTATCTTGGCTAGAAGACAAGTTATGCTCTTTTGCAAGGAATTTATAATATATATATTGTAAATTAAATCAAGTTTGCATTCATGAAGCATTTAATGTGTAGCATAATATTATGGTGCACATACACACTAATAATATACATACAGGATATCAACACGAATGAATGGTGCATAAGATCATGTCATCTTGTATAAAAAATGTGCATGATCAAGTGGAAAAAATAAATTTTTTTTAATTTAAAGTGTAGGAATGGGTGCACCAAAAAGTGAGGAAACAAGGTAAGAATGGGCATGGTGTAATAAAACTTCCTCTTTACAACCTCACAAGGAGGCATGTCCAACATTGGGTTCATGCTTACTTCATTTTCCTATGTTCTTGATATTATACAACTTATGAGTACATACAATAGTATATCTATGATTCTTTTACTTTTGTATAGACAGTAACAAATCCATGACATCAATACACAGAAACCTCTTAGGGGGGACAAGTTGTCAAGAAAAAAAAAGTTATGAGTCCACATGAATATCTGATTCTTCTTGTGTCATATAAACATTACATGTATTGTTTCCAATAATTCAGTTGACAGGAACCTCTAGTCATTGCATGATAACCATAACTAAGTTTGATAAGTTTAGTCCTCCTGGCATATTGTATACAGTATAGAAAGAATAAAGGAAGTGGGTATGGACTGCATATTGGACACATCCCCTTGTAAGGTTGTACAGAGGAAATTTATTATATCATCATGCCCATTCCTACCTTGTTTTCTCATTTTTTGGAGCACCCATTTGTACACTTTTAATTTCTTCTTTAATATTTTTTTTCTATTTGTAATCCAAGTTCAGCTGACTAAGATAGATGCTGATAGCTTTACATTAATGTGAATATTGAGTGGATTGTCTACTCTCCACCTTCTGATGATTTGAGTAATAAAGCTTAAGATGACTCCTTCACATAATGTTCAATAACAACCTGAAGGATAGCAATGGGAGTCTCTTATCATTTTTGCCACTAAACAGATTCCAAACTTACTGGCTTATAACTCACACTACAGCCAGTCATTTGTTCTGAAATTTGGGATAAGTTACTGGTTACCTCCACATTATTCTGTTCACTCAGTTAGTGGTAGCATGAGGGGTGGAGAAATTAAGTCTGTTTCTTAGCACAAACTAAGAGTTATTAGCTCAAGGTTATGATAAAATATCTCTCCAATCGTCATTTTAATTAATACCACGAAAAATAGCATTATTCATTTTATCATATATTATATGTTCTTTACCTATCTAATTAAAATTATTTATAAATTTTCTGGTATTTTACAGGACAGGAACTAGGAAATTTTTGTGGCCATACAGATGAAGTACTGGATGCAGCCTTTGACATGATAAGTCATCATGTGGTTACTGGCTGTGCTGATGGAATAGCTCGTATTTTTGATGTTATGAAACAAGAGTGTTTGACAGAGCTTAGTGGACATGAAGGAGAAATATCAAAAGTAAAGCTGATCATTGAGTTTTTTAAAACAATTCTTGAAAAGTTTTTAGAATTTTAGGAAAATCAACACATTGATAGCACATATTTTATGTAGTGAAATTTACTAAAAGGCTTAAAATTAACATGGTTAATAACATAAAGTATTTAACAATAAAAAGCATACAGATGTGACTTTTTACTTCAAGCATTCAAATTAAAACTTGAGCTCTACAAGTACTTGCAAAAGACCACAAGCTATTAAAGTAATAGTTTATCATTTTAGGTCACACAATGCAGATTTTTCTATTTTTTTTTGCAGGTTCTGTTTAATCCTCAAGGTAATAAAGTCTTAACAGCAAGCACAGACAAATCAGCCAGAATATGGGACCCCTTTTCTGGGTGTTGTCTACAAATTCTACATGGACACAAAGATGAGATATTTAGCTGTGCTTTTAATTATCATGGGGACACTATCATCACTGGTTAGTGTTATTAAGTTGTATGTATTTGCACCTTAGGATTTGTACAAATAAAAAAAAATTGAAATAAAAACAGCTGCTTATGTGTTCAATGGTTGTACTTAGGTTTTGGCATATTTCAGTTTCTATCGATGTAAAGTTTCAGAAAATATTAAATATTGTTTAAATTTGTTAATAGTCTGTATTGATATTCAGTGAAGAAGTACCGATGTAGATAAATATGAATAACTTAAGAATTGATGTTCAGTGAAGAAGTACCGATGTAGATAAATATGAATAACTTAAGAATTGATATTCAGTGAAGAAGTACCAATGTAGATAAATATGAATAACTTAAGAATTGATATTCAGTGAAGAAGTACCAATGTAGATAAATATGAATAACTTAAGAACTGATATTCAGTGAAGAAGTACCAATGTAGATAAATATGAATAACTTAAGAATTGATATTCAATGAAGAAGTACCAATGTAGATAAATATGAATAACTTAAGAATTGATATTCAATGAAGAAGTACCAATGTAGATAAATATGAATAACTTAAGAATTGATATTCAATGAAGAAGTACCAATGTAGATAAATATGAATAACTTAAGAATTGATATTCAATGAAGAAGTACCAATGTAGATAAATATGAATAACTTAAGAATTGATATTCAGTGAAGAAGTACCAATGTAGATAAATATGAATAACTTAAGAATTGATATTCAATGAAGAAGTACCAATGTAGATAAATATGAATAACTTAAGAAGTTACAAAATTTTATTCATACTTGATACTCAATATTTTGGTGGTTTGGGGTAAATAAATTATTATACTCTTTTTTTTTTATGACTTTCCTAAAAATTTGTATATGTCTAAATGTTTCATAGTTTTTTCCTTAATACACACTATTTTAATTAGGCTGCAATATTAGAATAGTGCACCATTTTCTCAGTCTCTCTTAATTCATTACAAATAGACGTATATAACTTTTTAAATAAATTATATATAGTCGTTAGAGATTAATGTAATTCTCATTTACTTTTATTTAAAAGAAATCCATAAGATCTTCGATTTATGTGGTTTTGCATTCTGTTTTGTTCTAAACACACACACACAATATTTAAATATCATGACCTTTCTTTAAGTTATTGACATTTACTCCAATATATATTTTCAGACTAATATTTAATGAATAAATGCATTTTTCCTTTGCAGGAAGTAAGGATAATACTTGTCGCATTTGGAGATGATACAAGTTTCATTTGTTTCACAAATACCTGTGGTAATTCATAAACATCAATCTGTAAGTATAGTATATTGCCTACAAATGCATTTTTTTTTAATACAACTTAACAGTTTCTTTAAAAAATAGACTATTAAATTTCCCTCTTCAGAAGTGTTTCTATTTTGTACTAATACAAGAAAGTTGCTCTGAGAATTAAACTAAATTTGATATTTAGGATTTATCTCTTTTTAAGTTAGTTGCTAAAACTTCTTTAACAAGTAACGTTTGGAGATGACTTGAATGGATAGTGAAAGAAACTTTAATACAAATGTACAACGTTTCGACAAGCTGATGTCACCATCAGGTATCTGGTGTACTTGATGATCATATAAGTTAGTTGCTAAAACTTCTTTAACAAGTAACGTTTGGAGATGACTTGAATGGATAGTGAAAGAAACTTTAATACAAATGTACAACGTTTCGACAAGCTGATGTCACTATCAGGTATCTGGTGTACTTGATGATCATATAAGTTTGTTGAAACATTTCTTTCACTACCCATTCAAGCTGTTTCCAAACTTTATTTTCCTAATCATCACATTTCTTTCTGAAGTGTTTTTCATTCTCCTGCATGGTCTATATGATTCTTAATGTAGTTATTCTAGATCACAAGTTAGTCCAACAAAATGATTTAAGGTTTACTATTTAAACAACATGCTGACCATATAGAAAGTTTGCATTATAGCTAATGTAGTATTTTTACTAAGAAAATACCATTGTGATTATCCTTGTACTGTAAAAACATAAATAAATACAACTAGGTACAAAAAAACTGCCCCAACTACTTTGAGTTGTAGCAATAGCTTTAGATTTGACTTGTATATATTTATGCCTTTTTTTTCGTTAGATGAATGTACGCCTTTGATTTAACTTCACAGAATTATTAAACTGAAAAGAGATATTACAGATTAATTATGTTTTTCTGTATCATTTTAGTAAATAAGTTTAAATATTTCTTCTTTTCACCAAATAGTATTTGTGTCAATAGTTATTTTGTAGTACAAAATATGGTAAAACTTTCAGTGTGGTTTACACAAGAGATATGATGAAATTATGAAAAAAGACAAAAAATGATTTATGACATCTATAATTTTCTTTCATATACAGATAAAAAACTGGATAATGGCTGAAGTGCATCAGTTGTCATCAGAATCTTCCATAAAATGGTCACACTTTCATATACTTTTGTGATAAAAATGAAATGTTTATTATCTTGCATCTCCTTTTTTTTACCATTATCATTCAAATAAAGTTTTCAAATGGTCCATTTTTATCTGGTATAAATGTAAATTTATTTCCAATATATTGACATTCTGGTAATACAGCTTGTGTGAGGGTAACTTCCTAAGTCTACAAGTCTCTTACAAAATTTACCAGGACAGAAGTTTGTTCTGCTGTCTCTTGTGACCTTAAGTGAAAACAACAGTTGCTGCCTGAACCAGAAGCTCTTGTCTAGTACAAAACTACTGTCAATTTGTAATAATAAACAATATCAATACTTCAGTTTCTGTTGTTGCTAATTTCAGCAACTTTACACTTTCTCTAAGATCTAAAAACTATGTCACAGCATGGTTCTTTCTCCATTTCTAAGATCCTGAAGAACAAAAACCTTCAATCTTGATAGTCCTCTAAAACAAATGACTTATTTCCTCTTGTCTATCAACAATGTTTTTGTAACAATTTCTAAAATATGTGAAAGTAGCAAGATCCAGCACAGGAAATATTAATTTTAACCATTCATCTAACACTGTATGTAACATACTCAATTCTAACCAAACCACCTTATCTAATGTTAATACATCCAAACATTTCCTTAATATGATATGTTAAGGATTTTTTTATAACACAGGCAGATGTTAAAGGATAGTTTCTAATTCCTTATTTCTTTCTATCAATTAAATATATATATATATATTAGAAAAAATGCAGTTTTTCTGAAAAACGTTTTTATAAAATGAAATTAAGAATACATTTCTTAAAAAAACATAGAAGGATTTGATTTTACAAAATAAATAGATACTTAGAAAATCTTCAAATGTATTAATTATAGTCAACAATATAAAAATATTTAATGACAATGTGATTTCACTAATTACCTGTATTTAGTATTTCAGTTTATTTACTGCACACATGTACAGGAAAAGAAGTATACCATTTTAAGGAGTATCAGTAAAATAAATTAAATTTATTAGCCATGGCTATAGAGTAATTAATTCTTTTCTTCATGTCTAGATGTTGCAGCTTACACTTGGCTTTAAATACAGGTACTACAATCAACAACCTTGTACTGGCAGCAATGAAAATACTGGCTACTATAACACTTTGAATGTATATCACACATTGTATTGACACACAAAATTATAATGAAATTGTAAGCTTTTTCATCTTCATAAAATCCTATTTCAAAATAAAGCACAATTGCAAGTCAATTAACATTAATGCAAAGCAAGTCTCTTTAATGAACTTATCTGTAAATTTATAGAACATTTCAATTCTATAAAGCATTATGAGATGATTTCTACTGAAGACAAGACAATATTGACATGCATATGATGAATTGAAGATGAGGAATGAAGAGACATTTTCTCTTGTTATTAAGAGATCATAAAACTAGAAAGGGACCAGGCAATACTTTGATTTTAACTACTTTAAACAGGAACTTATACCTTTACATTTCTTTAAACATCTTTCAAACACTGCACAGATCACTTTCCTTAAAACAGAAGTTGGGTGGAGTCTATTTTTGATAAGTCTGTCATGCATGGGTTTCTACAACTAGTTCACACTAAGTTCTAAACAGATCGTAGCGAGTTGGATATACATCATTTCTCACAAGGTTGATTGTCCTGTTCCCATTCCATACTTTTATGTAGATTAGCAAAGAACTGATCAGCATGAAGGATAAATAAATCTGAGTACTGCCACAAGGTGTTTCAGGAAACTAAACATGAGACTATATGGAATTAATAAGCTTTAGATTAATTAATAAATCAACTACAAATTCCCCAAGGCTAGTTGACTATACATTAGTCAACATATCTGTTACTCGTATCACTGGAAATATCCATTATTAGGCTCATTAACGACCACAGCTAGTCACACACCCAAGCAATTGACAAACACAACTCTACAGTTAGAGACAACCAGAAATCACAAGCTATCCTAATAAGCTAAACTCTAAATAATCCAAAATTGGTACATTCATAGAAAATTAGTTTACAGAACTACTGTGAAAACAATTATAAACAATCAGTGGGACTAGCACAGCCACTCTGACCAATGTACAATTAAGGGAAAAGAAAAGAAACTACTTCCTGCTAACAAAATAAGTATGCAGCCAAGCTTATCAAACTATATGCAGATAGATATAGATCAACCTATTAGAAGTGCTTACTTTTAAATGTTTTGGAATCCAATTAAGTTAGTGTTTATTTCTTTTAATATCAACACCACCTAAGGATCACTAAGATCTTGTTGGAATGTGCTCCTTTTAAGATATCATAGACTATGCTCAGCTAAATATTTACAAACATATCTTGGTAACACTGCAATCAGCTGTCTTGATCTATCTGTACAAATACAAATAAAACAAATCTTTTCAAACACATAGTCTTCACATTATCTGTAGCCCTTACTTAAAAGAAGGACAAATAAAATATAGAATTTATCTTGGAAAGCTTACACTTTTGATTAATCATTTAGATTCAACAATTCTTGTTTCATATTGAAAAATGGGGCAAAGGCATGCTATTTACTTCATATAAGACAGGTGTATAATAGCGTATTAATTTTTTACTCACTAAAAACAAATATAGTGTGATTGTGGGTAGCATCATAATGTTAATGATACCTCATCAATTTCAGTAATACAGTGTTCTTAAGACCTGCGAAGTTATAGTAAAATATAATTTTTAGTTTATTACTTTTCTGGACAAGCATATTAGCAATGTAAAGAACCTGAAAGAAAGATTTTACAGTGGAAAAAGCAGCACGTTTCAGACTGACATGAATAAAGTCTAGTCTTCTTACGCAAAAGGGAAAAAAAACGACTAACCATAGACAATTGTTTATCATAATGCTTTTAAGCAGGCCATGTGCATGGTTTGTTCAACACAAAACTACTCTACAAAAAAGATTGTATGGTACTTACATACACAGAATAAGTCTCGCATAAGATACAAAGTTTTAAGCTCGATAAAAATTCATGTTATGTAATACACACTTGAAGCTCTTTAAAATTGCTTGTGAACTTGTAAGTACAAGCAGTAATCTTACAAATAAAGCAGTATGCAAATGTTGACCTTATAAGTTATTTTTAGTTTTGCATTATGATGAGAATTAATAGAAAAAAGTAACAAATTCACAATCAGCCAAGTCATTAAGCCTAACTTTAGGCCTCCTTTACACACAGTTATTCATGCATATTAAATGTATGCATTAGGAAACGTTATTAACTTCTTTTCAAGGTGTTGTTGAACACACCTCAGACTTTAAGACAGACTCAATACCTACACAGTATGATAGTTTATACATTATATAACAAATTTTAATAATTCACCACACATTACTTAGAATATCCTACAATAGCCTGATGAGGCATCAGAAGTTACCTCAGTTGTCTTTTTATGAACAATTTATACTTCTATAAAAACCAACACCATCAACAATAGTAGACAAGAAACACTACAAACATTTTAAATAATTTGTCACTAGAATTTATAAAGATGTGATTGTAACAGTAAAACAACATGACATATAAAAACAACATTATTAAAAATATCCTCTCCATTTTTTTTCCAAAAGCCTTTTCTTCTACAAGATACACTATTAAAACTGCCTCAAAAGTTCTTGGGCAACATTTGACTTGGTATTACAACATCCCTTAAGGTGTATCACCAGTATGATTATTAGTCTCAAGGCTTTTGAAAACAGTTTAGTTCATTTACAACTTTTGTTAAAACATTTTTTTTAATAAACCTTCTAAACAATTAAACCAGTCTAGAAATTAAAAACCATCACTTAATAACATAGTAATGTCTCATATCTTGCATAGTCTAAAATATATATTTCCAGTTGTTGTTTTTCTTTTTAGAACAAAGTTTCTAAAATTAGAAGTTACAGATTATTTAAAGATGCAGACATAAATAAAGAAATTATATCAAGTTTTAACTCAGAAAGAATCTTTTTTTTTTTTTACCTATGTGATTTTTCTCATTTTATTTATCCAGGGAGCTATACTAAAAATGGCACAAAAAGTTTAAGTTTCTATACAAACTAATTCTTTAGGTTTTGGTTTTGTATTCCTTCAATGACTAGATCATTTGAAATTGCTGCACCTTTTTTGGTTCTTTGATGCCTTGTGGATACAGTGACAACGGATGGCTAAAATGACCTAACTACATGTTTGCCATAACTATTTCAGCATAGATGAAACATTCAGTGATGCCCCCTGGACACAGAACTCAACTGGCTAGGGATGTTGACATGTACATGTGATCACAATGACAGAGACATCTGAAAGAACTAGATCATGCCCTTATGAAAGAATACTTCCTCATTCCTATACAGGGGCACACAAATGACCTGATGCAGGATCAAACTTCATCTTTAAATATATCTATGACAAAAAAAACAACTAAGTTTGCCTTACTTCTTCTTACATTAAAATGTTAGTTAAAAGTAATTTCCAGTAATTTCTTTCTTTGAAATAATAAAAATATGTATCTGGTCTTGTAAAAAACTTCAATTTTATGCATTACAAAAATATAAATTACTTTTTCTTATTTTCCTTTCATTGTATTATATGACTGAAATGGCTGCTCCACATCCTTTAAAATAATGGCAACTTTTTTTGTAAAGCTGATATAAAAAATATCACAGCAATGACTAAGATTAAAAAATATGGTATGAAAAACATTTTTGAGGAATCTCAAAGTGTTAAGAACTGCATTTGCTAATTTTCATTTAGGTTTCTACTGTGGTAATTAGGTTTTAACTTTTAAAGGAAGAGATAAAAGTTGTAAGTAAATTTTTTAACTTTCCATTGATACCAGCACTCCTATTAGGTTTTATTTGGATATTCCCAGATAATTTTACTTAAGATGTGAGGGAAAGGATAATGCTGAAAGAGTTTAACTAAGCTCAAGTTTGCCATCCTTCAAGGTTTAAGCTTTAATAGATGTAGTCCTAGAAATAAAAATTACATGGTTAAAAATACAGATGTACCTACCTTCATAAATTCTTTTAATAATTTTTCTCTTTTTAAAATCTTGGCACACCTGTTGAATGTCCAGCAACTGGCACTGTAAACAATTTGAATAAAAGTTATGTACATATCTAAACTCTGAAACAATATTTTACCAATTTATTTTACAATTCCTATAAAATATTGCAGCTTTGATAAGTTACAAGGGTTCATGATTTTGATATAAGAGTATGTTTATGAAAGTATTTTATTTATTCTAAAAAAACAAAGCCAAAGGTAACTGTCATTTTAACGCGTGAGTATGTCTTAATATGAAAAGTATAGTGAGTATGAATGTTTTCAAGACTTACATGATACAGGCACAAATGGTTGCTGAACATGCATGGCTAATGCTTGTTGGTAAGCTGCAGAAGCACTAGGCTGAAAGACTGGGATTCCACTTTTGTCCAAGGCTGGACGTTTCATGTATGGGGCCATTCCTGGAAAGGCCTATATAACAAAAATTTGGTTAATGATCATTCTTAGTCTAAATTCCTTATGTTTATATAAATAATTCTTTTTTGTAACTTTAAGACACAGGCAAACTATATATATATAACTAGGTATTTCTTACAGCAATGGAAAAATAAAACTAAGTTTTTACCAGCAAACCTTGAATTATTGGCTAGATACTAACAACCTAATGTGGCAATATACACAATAACAAATTGGTTCAATCTTATTCAGTACTACAACACAAATTGGCTTGTCTATACTGTCTTAAGAAAACATGATATACCACATCCAACTGTTTCTCTGATATAAGATCTATTTTACATTATTCAACAGATATTAAACAATTATTAATTGTCCTATTGTTGTGGCATCTACTCTACAATTAAATGCAAAAATCTATTCTAACATAGAAAGAATCTGAAGGGCTACCTTACCTGTTTCATAAGATATGGATTTTGAGAGACATTTTCACTAGATTAGATGGTTGCTAATTTTTAAATTCCTCCAAAAAAAGAGTAATAAATGGTAATACACACAAGAAAAGCAATTTAAGTTCCAGCTAATTCTTTTAAATACATAAGTTAATAACTGAATTTCAGTTAACCAATAACTTGTACACTTGTACTTTTAGTATTTTTCTTATTTATATATGTTTAAAACTGCATTAAGTTTATAAAAAAAAATGTTTTTTCATTGTAAGTATATTTAGGCTGTCATATTAATAAATTCTTTAACACATAAAATAATACATCCCCCCCCCTAAAAAAAATCTTAACATTAACAATTATGAAACTTGATACATTCGATTTGTTTTACTTAAATATATAAACAATTATTATCCAAGTTTCACTATTGTAAGGTATTTTATAGTTACTCAAGAAATTGTATGAATATTACAAGCTCTCTAGCTGTAAGCAGTGTTCTCATTACCTTTATCTACATGCCATGTAAGAAATACAAACTATAATCAATTGATTATTGAAAACTTAATTATTTTGAATACTCTCATGGTCAGAAGATAGAAGGATACAAATTGACTTGTTCTTTTTTACACAATTTAAACAATAAATCAGACACTTTGAACCATAAGAATAGATTTGCATTCAATTAATACAGTTTAGCACTGGAGTTATAAGAAAGAAAAAAGTCTTAAGTCAGAATATCAACTAGATCAGCTCGTCTATACTGTCTTTAGAAAACATGATATACCACATTCAACTGTTGCTCTAACATAAAATTGGTGTCACATTATTCAACAGATATTAAACAGTTATCAACTGTCCTATTGTTGTAGCCTGCTTCCTAATCTTAAAAGTCATAAAACATAATTTTTCACATTTATATATGGTTTATTATATTCATAAGCTTTTCAAATTCTATCACCACTCTTTAGTTGTCACAACTCTGGATAAATTCTCTATTCCCAACTGTACATCTAGCCTAACAGCTGTAAACATATGTTCCCACTTTTCAACTTAACAGCTGCTACAGCTTGAAATGGTTAATTAGTATCCACTTAAGGCAAAAGCTATGGAAATTACCCATTCTCACCTAATTCAGCAGTTAATACAACTTTAGATGTCTCTCAATCATTTACTTGAACAAGTAAAGTAGTAACTGAAGATATGTTGTTGTTTTTATCTTTACCAATGCTTCCTAAGTTTCTATCTTTACAAATACTTCTTCCATTGGTAAAAACCATTTATGATCAGCTTTAACAAATGCAGCAATACATACGAAACTTCTCTATCCACCTTATTCTACTACAGGTATGAGAGAAAATCCTTATTCTCCACTTATACAAGCATAAAAAAGCTGTTTTGTTCTCCCACTATTTTATTCAGTAGCTGCTGACACTGAGAGTGAAATTCTCCATTCTTTATACATACAGGTAGAGCAACAGGTTTGAGCCTATTTTCTTTTTAACCTTCATTCAGCAACTGCTTGAACTGTAAATGAATTCTATATTCCCCACTTTTAGTGCTAAGGATATGAGCTTTTATTTCACAACTTTAATCAAAAGCTGCTGAAATTGAGAGTGAATTCTTCCTACTTCTACAAATTGAGTAACAGTTATGGACATGCTAATGTGCATCTAAAACACTTCTGATTCCATTTTTGATATGAGGCATGTATAATACTGCACTGTCAAATATGATTTTGCTGTTACAGTTTAAGTGTAAAGAAAACAATTATGTGTACATGTTGACAATTTTGTTTGTTATCCTTATGACTGTGTAGTCAGGTGTTGCATATTATACGTACTAACTTTTGAATTTAATTTCACATGTTCTGCTAGTTTTTAAAATAAAAAATAAAGAGTATGAAGGCCACGATGCAATAATGCAATACAGCTGGCAAAGTCTGCCTGATACAACACACTAAAATATGCAAACCCTTTTCACCTCTAAAAGCTCCTTTAGGAGTGGGGTTTGATCATACTAAATAAATTTTATTGCCACCTCTTACCTTTCTTTAATACTCAATGGTACTGATAACTCCAAGTAGTCTAATGCATAAAGTAATCAAAATAAAAGAAAGATAACCAAAAGCAATACATTGATCTATAAGTTAAATATTCATGAAGCAAATCTACTGTTATTCAAAGCTAGCCTTAATGAACAGTCTAGCCATTACAAAATAACAACAAAAAACATCCATGTACATGCAGCTACAGATGCTCACTGGCTTTTAATTCATACATGTACACAGTTTTAAGTAGATGAATTATCTTGTAGATCTTCATACAAAACATAGTTACATATTGTTACGACAGCGGAAGTCGCGTGATGCTGGGAGCATACGCACTGGAGTTTCTCGAATGTCCAAGTATTTGCTAGATGCCCTCTTTTTTAGTATATAAGACTGATGAGAAAAACCAGTGGGATTGAAGAGATAGATAATTGAGTCAAGCGAACAGTAGGCACCGTAAGTGAAGTGTGTGAATCACT